TCACAACCTTGGCGTAAAAAGTGGCGTACGCATGTTTCTGGGCTCATTTTGTGCGTACGCCAGTTTTATAAATCCGACCCCTGGTCTTCGGGGGTCACTATCCTGCATGTTGATTTGAATGAATAAGTGATTAACAGGCTTCTGCAAAACTTGGAAGAAGTGACTGAATCAGGTGTGTTGGAGCAGGGAAACAAGTCAAACATAGCGGCCCTCGAGGACCAGGACTGGACACCCCTGTTCTAAATCCTTAGTGTCAGATGTGTTTCTGTTTGTAGCACAAATAGATTAAAAAAAAGGTTGTGCTCCTCTTATCCTCCCTGTCTTCCAGTCCTGCTCACCTCTGCTTGGTATGAGCACGGTGTCRCTGCCAGCCTGGACATCCTGTTTGTTGCCCCGGGCGGGCAGGGCCACCCTGTTCTCACTGGCGTGAAACTGACAGTGGATCTGAGCGCTGGCCCACGCCAACATCTCACTGTGACACGAGACAAGACAAGAGTTAGGCAGGAGCAGGGTGACCAACTAAATAATTCATCCTTCATCTTACAGTCAACAGTCTACCTGCTGCSAGACATCAGGTACACAAAATAACTGGGCAACAAATAGAGGTGTCACCCTAATAGGCTGGTGTTCATAAACAGTGTATACATTATTACTTATACACGAATAAAATGCTGATATCCTACCTGCTCGCAGATGTGGACAGATGAGACATCGGGTTGGTGAATGTTATGAGACACTCCATGAGCTCCCCGGCCAGAAACACGGGGCCTCGGGCCATGGAGGCCACCACCTCGATCATCTGGGGCGATCAAAACAAACAATGGAGCTTAAATAAACATTAGAGAACTTACATGATAAACTGAATGTGACTGAATCCGAAATTACTAGTTTAGTGTAACCAGACCACAACACTCTCGCCTTAGCTTGTTTTTGAAGGTAATTTTTACCAGGCAGAAGTGACGTATTAGTAGCAGAGCTGTTAGAGTCGTTTTTTTAAAGTTATATAAGTACATACCTCGGCCTCGAGTAATACTGACAGCTAGTCTACAGTGTGTCTGAATGTACTTCTCTGTATATAAAGAAAAAACTGGGCATAACTACTCGGCTATCATTGCAGCTACAAGCTACAGTAAACAAACAAAAAACGAAGGCGCTCCACTTCTGCTGTTGTACAACCAATCCCACTTCATGTAACAAGAAAAATAATTTTAACTAAATAATTTACTTTAAAATAATGCCTA